AGCCCAGGCTGGCCTCGAACTCACAGAGATCCGCCTGGCTCTGCCTCCCGAGTGCTGGGATTAAAGGCGTGCGCCACCAACGCCCGGCCCCTCACCTTATTTTCTTACACATGTCCATTTCCCTTTAAACCTAACCTCAAACCTCACCCATTATTGAAAACATTGCCTTATCATCCCAAGTTCTTTGAGAGCCTAGCATCTGGTACATGTATTTTCACCTAGACAAGACCCATTGTTTATTTGTTTACATGTCTGTCTGCCTTAGGAATTCAAATAAATGCTGAATAAATTAATAAAAACACCGCCCATAAGGTTTATTATTCTCTCATAGTGGTTGTCCACTCCAATTCAGAATATTTTGTAGGGTTTCCTATTGGAAAGCCAAGGAAGAAATGTTACAGGATTTTCCAACTGGACAGAGTATTGGAATTTCACCTCTGACCTCTCATCTCGGAACCAACTTTGAGACCACAGCAAAGCTCTCAGAATTTCAAGGCACTGGACATACTCTCTGCCCAACAGATTAATTTTAGAGTCATTGAAATTCCGCCAACTCTGGGGGGAATGATTTGGAAGCCAGGCCGACAGCCAGCAAAGGAGGAAATTGCTCTCTGTCTATTTCAAGATGAGAGAATTGTAACCACGGTGCCTCCCCCAGTGATGTTGTTAAAAAAATAAATTTAATACGTTTATGAAATCTAATCTTCTAACCATAAGTGTTTCAGGGTTGGCTTTGATGTTTAGAGAAAGCAGCCTGATGCCAGTGTGTTTTGTATATTTGGAGAGGGTGTTGCCTTACATATAAGCAAAGCAGTGGGTCTCTGACTCTTTGGAAGAGTCATCCTTGTGTAAATAAGTCAACAAGTATTTAGTCACTGTCTACCATGCTCAAAACACTTGTGCTGCAGGAGTGTAAACACAGATTTCCAGGTAAGAGGAGGGGATGCTCAGGTCCTATCTTAGTCCCCAACTAAGCACAAGTCATGGCATATCTCATGATTTCTTTTTCACCTGAGAAATACAGTTGTGCTATTTCAACTTAGTAAAAGTAATGAGAATTTTGGAAAAAAAAAAACAGTAAGAAAGAGTGTGCCTTGCATAGTTCCTAGACACTTATTCAAAGGAACCACCAAGAGTATTTGGTTCTGTGTAAATATAATTTGAGTTGTAAGAAGTCAAGGTCTGTATCTTACTATAAGTGCTATTACTCAGTTAAGGAGACTGGAAAACCCACTGTAAATGGACTTGTTTCAAAAATAGAACTACCATCTGATTCAATAATCCCACTATTGGGAATATATAGAAAGGAAATGAAACCACTGTTAAGAAGATGTCTTCCCATTCGTGTTCATGGCAGCACTGTTCATAATGGTCGTGAAACAGGAACTTCAGGGTCCATCAGTAGATGAATGGGTAAAGAAATAATGGTACATCTATACAGTGGAATACTACTGAGTCACAAAGGATGAAATCATACCATCTGGCAAGGATGAATGTGATGGAAGCTATTATGCTGTGAAATAACCCAGCTACTTCTATGCCTTTCTACATAGAACTTCATGACTTCCCTCACATGGGGAATTTTATTTTCTTTCTTTCTTTCTTTCTTTCTTTCTTTCTTTCTTTCTTTCTTTCTTTCTTTCTTTCTTTCTTTCTTTCTTTCTTTCTTTCTTTCTTCCTTCCT